GGGGAGAGAGAGAGGGAGAGAGAATCCTAAGCAGGCTCAACCCCATCCGCACAGATGTGGGGCTTGAACCCATGAACCACGAGATCGTGACCTGAGCTGAAATCAAGAGCTGGACGCTTAACCGATTGAGCCACCCAGGTGCCCCTGAAGATTTTATTTTTAAGTAATCTCTATATCCAACATGGGGCTCAAACTCACAACCCCCAAATCAAGAATTGTGTGCTCTACCAACTGAGCAAGCCAGGTGCCCGTCTGCCATATTTTTTTAACAAAATTCCTTAAAGAGCCAATTACCCCAATTAGGGAATGTACAATATGAATAGAGTTTTAATTTTTAAGAGAAAGAACTAAGCAGGAAGAGGGAGTAATGATAGTAACAGGAAGAAGAAGACGTGGTGAAAATATATCTTTGTAACAGACAATTTTAAGAGCTGTTTTCTGGCAAAATCATATTCTATTGTTATTAATAATGGGACCTTAAAGATGGGAAGAATTAGCCAAAAACAAAACAAGAAGAATCAGAGAATAAGGAAAGCCAGTCCTAAAATAAGATTACCAAGGGGCACCTGGGTGGCTCAATCAGTTAAGCATCAGAATTCGGCTCAGGTCAAGATCTCACGGCTCATGAGTTGAAGCCCCATGTTGGGCTCTGTGCTGACAGCTCAGAGCCTGGAGCCTCCTTCAGATTCTGTTCTCCCTCTCTCTTTGCTCCTCCCCAGCTTGCATTCTGTCTCTGTCTCTCAAAAATAATAAAAAATAAACAATTTTTTTTAAAAAATAAGATTACCAAGACTGTATTATTAGATGACTTATTTGGGCCTATAAAGTGGCCATCATTATTATGTTGTGAAATGAAAAATAATGCTTGTACCCATTGTATCTACCCACTGGTAGCAACATGACGAGGTTTCCATAGAAACCTTCTCATCTAATTCTGCTCATCTAATGCCCCACCTCTTTCAAAAAGCAGTCAGCAAATGGTCAGTAATATTCATTTTAACAGATTTTACTGGTAGGAAGTTATAGTAGAAATCTGTCCTCAATATAGTTTATTAAAGAGGAGACAAATATAAATGAAATAAAAAGATATATGCTATTTCTTCCTTTTTCAGAGAATATTTTTATCACTGAAACAAGCAGAACAAGGGAATAGAGTCATGCAAATGAACTGTTCCTGGAGGGAACTCCTATACACAGCAGAATCAAGTGCTCCTAATCTTTGGGTCTCTTCGCCCAGAAAAATAACAGTTATCCCCAAGGAAGACAGTGGGGATTGACACGTGTGTATGGAAAACAGGATTTCCAGATTTGGAAAGACGTATTTCAGTGCAAATTACTCTAGAACACTCCTAATCCCCAATGCCCTTAGAGAAATGGTACTAAAAAACTAAAAATGGTATTTAAAAAACACAATTTTAGGGGCGCCTGGGTGGCGCAGTCGGTTAAGCGTCCGACTTCAGCCAGGTCACGATCTCGCGGTCCGTGAGTTCGAGCCCCGCGTCAGGCTCTGGGCTGATGGCTCAGAGCCTGGAGCCTGTTTCCGATTCTGTGTCTCCCTCTCTCTCTGCCCCTCCCCCGTTCATGCTCTGTCTCTCTCTGTCGCAAAAATAAATAAAACGTTGAAAAAAAAAAAAGAAAAAAAAAGAAAAAAAAAGAAAATAAAAAACACAATTTTATTGAGTTATAATTTACATACTATACAATTCATTCGCTTTGTGTACAATTCAATTATTTCTAGTATGTTTACAGAGTTTCATAACTATCACCACAGGTATAGAGATTTAAGTGTTTGGCAAATCACTGAAAACCCGCGTCTTGTAATTTCAACTTTCATGGTAATTAACTCTTTGAATTTTTTTTTTCAAGTAATTATTTCCAGGATAAAATATAGTGCTGACACTAGTATATACTTACTAAATTGAATCAAAAGGCTTGAAAATTTTTTGAGGAAGTTTTCATAAATAGCGACAGTGCTGAAAATAAGGCAATTTCTGAGAATTAAGCTAGTAAAATCTATACTTAGTAGATTAGTTGGTTGTGGGAGCAATCCATAAAACTGCCAGTGAATGTGTGAGGAGTTTACAAACACTCTGAATCCTTAATTAAGATGAAGATGGGGGTGCTGGGTGGCCCAACTCTTGATCTCAGCTCAGACCATGATCTCAGGGTCCTGAGTTCAAGCCCCACACTGGGCTCTGCGCTGGGCATGAAGCCTACTTGAAAACAAACAAACAAACAAACAAACAAACAAACAAAAAAGATGAGGATATAATCTCAGGAGGCAAGGTGGAAGTGGCTGTAATTTGGTCCGCAGAAATCTAATCAATTGTCTAGTATACTGTTTAGACAAAGTTTATGTGCAGATTAGCCTACAGAAAGAGAATTGCCAATCTTTACCCAGCATTGTCCAGGGAACAGACCCACAAAACCCATGGGGGTATGAGTTTTCCTGTCTTTGAAGAGGTATACTCTGAGATGGGGCAGGGGTCATTTTTTCAGGCCTCGCCATTGTCTCAATGAAATCTCTCAAAACAATTCGCCTCATTTTGCTTTGATTCCTCATTTACTAAGCAACTGTCTGATATGCTTTCCAGACCCACCAAAACAGTTATCTTTGGTTTGTATAATTTGAGCATTCCTGGCTACCAAAAATTAATCTGTCCCCAACAAATGAACAAATGACTTGGTTTATTTTCTTAGTTTTTGCTCTTGTGGACTAAAATATGTTAATCAACTCTGGGACATTGATATTACTATCACACCCGGAACTGTAATAATCACCAAACTAACGTCATCCTGGGAAATCTCGATAAATGGCCAGACTTTTACTGCTACATCCTGAACTCATCATGGACCCCAGAGCCTATAATTTGGTTACGTTCAAATACAATAAAAGGAGCCAACAGAGGAACAAGAATGTCTTATTCACTCTATATTAAATTCTACGTGGGGCGCCTGGGCTGGCTCCTTCGGTTAAGTATCAGGGTCATGTTCGGCTGGGGTCATGTCTCACCGTTTGTGGGTTCGGCCCCGCGTTGGGCTCTGTGCTGACAGCTCGGAGCTTGGAGCCTGCTTCAGATTCTGTGTCTCCCTCTCTGTCTGCCCCTCCCCCACTCACACTCCGTGTCTCTCAAAAATAAATAAAATTTTTTAAAATTAAAAAAATTTCTACTTGTATTCCTCTGAACTGAACAAAATCAGAAATGACTGCATTAAATTGGATAAGAATAAATCAAAGCCAATTCACAATTTTCTTACTTTTCTGGAACAAAAATGTCTTGAAATTAAAAGCAACTATGTTTAAATCACTTCAGTTATCATTAACATTATTTAACAGATGAACTTGAATAACTCTTAAGTGGAGGTATAAAATAATAAAGTGTGCTAACTAACTATTGAATGAACCAATCAATACATGATATGCCTGCAACTTTTTAAAAAACTCTCATCTCTTCTGCTACTAACTGAATAGGACAGGGCTAGAAACTGAATCAATTTGTCGAAATAGTGTCTTTTTTGGTCAGCTTCTCATTTTAAAAATGATCAGGTTCTTTTGTTTTTATTAAAAGCTCACTGTCAAAAAATATCATTGAAGGATACTCAGTGAAGGATGGTCTGAAAGATAATCTGTCCTTCCCTCTAACATTTTCAGAGATTTTTTCCCCCTGTGAGAATCTAAACACCCCTTTAAGAATCTGATTACAATTTCAAATCCTCTTTGAAGAAAAAGTACATGCACATATACACATAATTTTGGAAACCATCACAGAGAGTTCAAACACAACCAGAGATCCTCTATGTGTCCGTTGAGGATCAAATTGAATTTGTATTTTGGGATCGCTCAGACGTTTGTAAAATGGGCTGTCAACTTTTAGAACTAAGAAAACATGCCATTCTCCTAAACAACCTATTTATTTTCTAATTTCAAAGGCATTTAGACTTTTGAATAGACTTGTGTTGCCTTCTTTACCATGACTTCCGGAATGAGAAGAGTGAGACTTGCAGTGCATCTTTAGGAACCAATCAGGATATTACTGCTGGCATTTTGTGTAGTAACCTCACCCTGATTTCACCTTAATCCCTCCCTGCTTATTTTCCCATTCGCCCTGAGTTCTTGGTCCAGTTCTAGTAATGTTTTATGGTATCTCCGTAAATTGCCTCACACACATCCTTGGGAACTGTTGCAAACAAATACAGAGTATGAAGAAAATCATCCTTAAACACAGGGTGCAGATGTTTTAGCATATTTATGACTGCAGAGTTTTCTTAAAAATTGAACTCATTACTAATATTTTAAAATCCCAACACTTCACATAAAAATCCAGACTTCAGAGGTCTCTCTAAACAAGTTCCTAACTCCCTTGGGCCAGCAGGCAAGAGGGCTCAGTCCTGAGCAGCAACAGTGGTCTCCAGTGGTCACAGTTCTCACACATCCATTTTGCTCGTTTATATTACCTGAGAGGCCCGGAAGGAGTTCATAAAAGGGAACAAACTTCAAGATTTTGCATACACACACACGCTTTTCTCGTTCTTCCAAAGGGCTGGATACATAACAGGCACGTCACTCTTCAAGCCTTCACTGGACCTCTCCTCTGCGGTAGGGCTAGGCAATTAAAGAGAAGCTGAGGTCTGAGTCCTGGCTGACTGAATACAGCTCAAACCACCGCCACTACATCAAGGTGTGTTGGATTGAGCCATACAAAGTTAAGTTTTAAACCGACGATGGAACGGTACTTGGTGCAAAGTATTTACCAAGGAGTCTAAGCTGGGTTGCCCTAAATTAGACCCTTCTCTAAGCAGCTCACCGCCTGAGCGCAGGAAAAGGGGCGGGAATACAAAGTCAAGCCTCGGCTCCTGATTGAATCACAAGCCTGAATCACAAGCGGCGGAACTCCTGGACTAGCCGCACTGTCCGAGAATGTCCGCGTTTCCGGAGCAACGGCCAGGTCCCTTCCCCTTTAACTCCGCCCCCGGCAGTCTTTCCCGCCAAAGGCCGTTAACGCCGCAGAGCATTGTGGGACACAGCTCAAGGCTAGGTTTCACCAAAGGCTTTCAAGGCGCGGACTTGTTTTTAAAAGGGACTCGTTCCTGGGAAAGTTGACTATCCTTTAAGACTCGTCAGGGATTAGTAGCCCGTTTACCGATGGATCTGTGTTTAATTCTTACCAAACGACTGGTCACTTCACTGGCAAGGCACTCCGCAAATCGGGAACGCGGGGAACTTTTTTCTCCCTTCGCGCGGAGGGTGACGTCGCACGTGCGTGAGCGTACCTATCGCAGTGCCCGTTACGCTCTTGCGCGTGCGTACTGAGATCGAATAGCTGCTTCCACCCGCTTCTCTTCCTCCCTCCCCCCATATCCGTGCGCCGAGCTGATAAAGGCGCCATTTTGGAGGGGCCGCGGGAGACGTGGTGTCGCTGCGGGCTCGCTCTGCCGTGCGCTAGGCTTGGTGGGAAGGCCTGTTCTCGAGTCCGCGCTTTTCGTCGCCGCCATGTCGGGAGGTGGTGTGATTCGTGGCCCGGCAGGGAACAACGATTGCCGCATCTACGTGGGTAACTTACCTCCAGACATCCGAACCAAGGACATTGAGGACGTGTTCTACAAATACGGTGCTATCCGTGACATCGATCTCAAGAATCGCCGCGGAGGACCGCCCTTCGCCTTCGTTGAGTTCGAGGACCCTCGGTGAGGCGGCCCGGGGCTTGCGGCCTTGAGGCAATAAGTTGGGAGTAGTTGGGAAAGGCCTTGATACAAAGAATGGGGAGGTGGGCTCTTAGGTTGGGGGTAAGACGATGTCGCCCATGCAGGAGTCGAGTAAGGAGCCGAGTCGCTGTGGCTTCTCTGGTGACTGGGCCCATGGACGTCCCCAGAGCGGACTTTCGGTCTCGGAGCGGGAAACTGAGGCGCTGAGGGCTGGTGTAGTGGTCGGGAACCTGGCGTGCTTCTGGGTGGGGGAGGGGCCGTTCCTATTATGCAGCGCATGTGGGCTCTTCCATGCTGGGTGCGCATGTGCGGGGGGCCGCTAGTTCCCGACTGAGTTAGCTGCCCCTCCCGGTCCTTTTTCTTACGCCTTTTGCTTTCTATGATCACGCAGAGACGCGGAAGACGCGGTATATGGTCGCGACGGCTATGATTACGATGGATACCGTCTGCGGGTGGAGTTTCCTCGAAGCGGCCGTGGCACCGGCCGAGGCGGCGGCGGGGGTGGAGGTGGCGGGGCTCCCCGAGGCCGCTATGGCCCCCCATCCAGGCGTTCTGAAAACAGAGTGGTTGTCTCTGGTGAGTTTACTGTTCGTGTGGGTTGTTGAGAAGGGACAGAAACCACTTTTAAGTTTTTCCTTGCGTGAGCAGTGTTGACAAATGCAAGTTTTTGTGATAGGTCTTAAATTAGTTGCTCGGATAAATTTAGTAACAAGGAACACTGTAGTGGAGATATACCTGTTACCACGTAGTTATTTACTATTAGGTTGAGTACCTAGAATATGAAGATCTTTGCTTTGCAAGTAAGTTTGGACTCTGGATTCCAGGATCTTAGCAGCTCTTAACCTAGGATCTTGAGTCTAATTAATTTTAAAGTAGTTTTTGTTCTAGTGTAAATTTCAAGTTTAATGTGAAATATAGAGTGAGTGGTGTTGAAAAAATACCTTTTTAGGACTGCCTCCAAGTGGAAGCTGGCAGGATCTGAAGGATCACATGCGTGAAGCAGGTGATGTATGTTATGCTGATGTTTACCGAGATGGCACTGGTGTCGTGGAGTTTGTACGGAAAGAAGATATGACCTATGCAGTTCGAAAACTGGATAACACTAAGTTTAGATCCCATGAGGTAGGTTTTTTACACTTACTCTTTTCTTTGGCCAGAATTGGATACAGTGGTCTTAACAGTGGAATTTGAAGGTAAGATTCAGGCAAGGGTGTCCAAGTAAAGTACCAGATTTCTGGTTTTAGTTACATTGTATTCGTTCAGCATGCCTGAAGACAGGTGAAAGCTTAGATCTTTCAATCGAAAGTTCTGTCTATTCAATAGGGAGAAACTGCCTACATCCGGGTTAAAGTTGATGGGCCCAGAAGTCCAAGTTATGGAAGATCACGATCTCGAAGCCGTAGTCGTAGCAGAAGCCGTAGCAGAAGCAACAGCAGGAGTCGCAGTTATTCCCCAAGGAGAAGCAGAGGATCACCACGCTATTCTCCCCGTCATAGCAGATCTCGCTCTCGTACATAAGATGATTGGTGACACTTTTTGTAGAACCCATGTTGTATACAGTTTTCCTTTACTCAGTACAATCTTTTCATTTTTTAATTCAAACTGTTTTGTTCAGAATGGGCTAAAGTGTTGAATTGCATTCTTGTGTAATATCCCCTTGCTCCTAACATCTACATTCCCCTCATGTCTGATAAAATGTATTTTAAGTGATGTCATAGACAGGATTGTTTAAATTTAGTTAACTCTCCATGCTCTTCAGACTGTGATATTGTGTAAATGTCTATTCTGCTCTGGTTTGTGTGAACTGGGGATGTTGGGGGGTGTTTGTGGTTATCTTACCTGGGGAAGTTCTTATGTTTATCTTGCTTTTCATGTGTCTTTCTGTAGACATATCTGAAGAGATGGATTAAGAATGCTTTGGATTAAGGATTGTGGAGCACATTTCAATCATTTTAGGATTGTCAAAAGGAGGATTGAGGAGGATCAGATCAATAATGGAGGCAATGGTATGACTCCAAGTGCTATTGTCACAGATGAAATTGGCAGTATTGACCTTATACTAAAAGGCAAGGGTTTAAAGTGATTATATACATCTACCTTAAAACACTTGCAAACATCTTATGCAGTTATCTTTAGCTACAATTGCTTTGTTCTTTAAACCTTGGCAATTGTGGCAAATGTTACATTGCCCATTTTGTAACAATTTATTTTGCTCCCTTCCCCCCTTTTTTGTTTTAATAGGGACTAATGTGGGAAGAACTGGCTAATTTGTCACAGTGCTTAGTTACAACTGTTAATGTGTGACCTGCTGTTGGTGTACATGTGGGTACAGGGTGTCTTTAATTCCAACCAGATAGAGTATAATATCAATACTGCTAAATCTGCATGTCCTCTGTGTGACTGATATAGCGTTGCTATTTCATTTTTTTAAGACAAAATGAAAGCAAAATAGAGAATTCCAATGTATTGGTGTAGATAATCTAGTTGGGAATACTTTTTAAGTCTCACCTTCCCCTTTTAACTAATGTTCATAATTGACTCGTTTAAAACACTTTAATTTACAAATTAAATTGCAGATGGGAGCATTAGGTTTAGTTTAGACTTAGGGTGGGTAGCAATACCAGTAAACTTTTCAACTACATAACTTTTTGCAACCACAAAACCTGTAATACGCTGTACAGTAACAAGTGTTGGCATTATCAGTTGAACTGTAAATATAAAATGCTTCTTCCAATTAGTCTCTATGATGATTAAGTTTCTAAAATTTATCTGAACACCATTCAGAAACTTGTTTTGGGGAATTTGATAGTTATTGATGTACATCTGTTAAACTGATGACAGACATAACTCATCATTCCCCAGAAACCTTTTTTGATTACAGTATCTAACATTTTGCCTCCTCTTTTTTGGTTTTGCTGGTTATAAAGGTTTGGATTGGAGAGGGCTCACTGGATCCCAATCCTTGGAGCTGGATCATTGGATTCAAATCATAATGTGGATAGGATAGGGAGGATGAATTACAAGGATTCATGGAGCGGGATCAGATTACCAGGAACATAGGAGTGGATTCCTGCCCCAACCAAACCGCATTCGTGTGGATTTTTTTTTTTTTTATTCAACTTAATTGGCTATTCCAAAGATTTTTTTTTTCCTATTTTTGACGATTGGAGCCCTTAAGATGCACGATGGAATTGTGTTTTGCATTTTTTGGTAAAAGGAGCAAAGCGAGGACCTGGAGATAATACGCTGGAGCAATCTCCTTGGAAGGATTCAGCACGAGTAGATGGTAAACATTTAAAGGGGAAAGGGGGGGTTTGTTTAAAATAGTAAATCAGTAAGTCACTTCTAAATTTAAAGAACAAAATTGGAGTTGAAGAATAAGTAGGTTTCCAATTGGCTATTGCCGTTTTTCTTTGAAAAAAAATAAACATTTTTTAAAAAACTATGCATGGTTGTCCTTTTTCCTCTTCATGTAAAATTTTAAGTGGGTGACTATCCGTTAATACTTTGATAAGATACTGATTCTTGTGTTATGTATTAGTAAATTAAAGCTTCTTGAAAGGTAATCTCTAATAAATGGTATTAGCCATCTCTTATTAATGTTAATTGTAAAAGTCTTCAGGGAGATAAGAAGGAATTTGGTGTATATGATATGGTAAATGGGATGATCTAGTTTCTGAAAGATAAGTTTCCCGTACTTTGACAAAAATGATTAGAAATTTATAGATGTTTATTTTTTGGTGATAATATAGACAGCATAGGTTTTTGTGCAAAATTTGGGTAGTGACTAGTTAATGTTAACTTGGGGATAGTGTTGGAGATTGTCAAGCTCTTCTCAAAAATTGGTAAGTATTAAATGTTCAATTCACAGAAACAAATTACTTTGTTTTGAAATGTGAATACTACACTAGAATATTAACTGCTTATATTTGAGTGAATTATTGTTAATAAAAAGCTGGGCTTTAAAATTTTGCCTGTGAACCCTTGTCAACCATAAGATTATTCTGTATCCAAAACCTACCAAAGCAGTGATTTATAGCTTAGTCTGCTAGTTCTTGTATCTTTTTACTTGACAGCCCCTTGGTGCTAAATTTTCAGTGAATTGGGGAAGTAGATTTTTAGTTAAAATCCCTAATCTTTTTCTTTTGATTTCCTCATAGCTAGTCAAAAACCATCAAAACACATTTTTTGCACCCAAAAGAAATAACTGAATCTTAACATTTGCCTTGGATGCTAATCAGAGTTGGAAGCTGAATTTAAGACCACTGTGCAGGTGACATAATTTCAAACCTAGAAAAAACTAGACCTGATCTTGGTGGTAGAGGAAATGGGCCCGAGAGAGATTTGCATAAGGGCACCTAACCAAAACATGTAGATGAACCTTGTGGAATGTAGGAAGGAAGGGAAGGGATCTTAAATTCAAAACAGATTCTTTAAAGAACTTGGTATAGACTAAGAAAATTACTAGTTCTTATGCAAGAATTCAAAATCCAATGTTCAAGAAGTGGAAAGATTTTTACTATTAAAACTGACAAGTTCTGTTTTATGTGTAGAACATAAGTATTTTAAACAACTAATTTTGGGAAGGTTAATGTGAGCTAGGCTTAAGCCTGTGTTCATTGAATGTGTTGGAAATCAGAGATGAAATGCCTTCACTCAAGATTGAGTGCATTAAACCTAAGTTGAAAGATGTACTCTACTAAAAATCATAGTAGTTCCAACCTCAGAATTGAAGTGAGATGGGAAATGTGTCATAAATAGGCTGTCTGAAGATGAGAGAACTTAACTGCATATTTATGAAAGATAGAGGGGTGCGGGTCCAGACCGCTGGAAGCTGTGAGGGGAGATGTAGGCTTTGTTGTTTTTGTTTTGTTTTGTTTTTTCCAGTCTTAGGAAATGAGTCCTAAACCTCTCCTGTTTTGGCAGCTACTAGAAGAAAGTCAGTCACATTGTTTTAGAACTAAAAAAGCTGCCCTGTATTGTTCCCCTTTTCTCTCCCTATTTGTGTCTCCTTAGAATAGTGTAGGGAACCTATAATTAGTTTGTTATTTTCTAACCAAGGAAAAACTCTTAAGTCTTTCTAAGAAGCAATTATTTTTCATAACATCAGATTGAATAACCCACCTTGCTGTTCAGCCCACATCCTTCTGGAAACAAAAGGTAAGAAACCCATTTTCTGATTTGTAATTGTTTGGGATCTGAATTTTATTTTAAAATTTTGTTTAATAATTTTTTTAAATTTTGTATAACAGATTTTCCTCATTTAAAATGTTTTTTCTCCTAAGTTTTATACTTTTATAAATTTTGAGTGTTCCCATGGACACTCATTATAGTGTTTAAGTTGAATAAGATTTAGAATTTCAGCTTTCTCAGTTTTATCTTTGAAACATCTTGCTCATTAGGGCTGACGTGGGGTTTTTTTGGTTTTTTTTTCAAGTTTTCTGTGTAGATGAACTGTGTCTTTTCACTTTGTATATGAAGCGCTGAAATTACAAATTAAGTTATATGTATTTATCATAAGTAGTAGTAAAAGCTATTAGGCTGAAGTTCTGTTGTTACATAACCATCCTTTGGTTTCACTTAGTTTTATCCCGGTATAGAGTGCAAAGGCAGAAAACAGGTTCACAATCTCTTATCCAAAAAACTGAAAACAAAATTTGTTGTTGAATGTAGAACCTGACCAGAATTGATGCCTTCATTTTGCACTTTCTGGGGCTACGCGGTCTTCTGCAGAAATACTGGTGTTTTGTTATACAGTTACCATAGGCTTTGCTGAGGGTGTTACATGATACAGGGGCTATATACCATATATTTTAATATTATAAAGTGAAAATGACTCTAAATTTCAAATACATTTGCCTCCACAAGTTTGGGTAAGAGATTGTAGAACTAATAGAATGAAGAGCTAAACCTGTATAACTTTGGGCTTGTGAGTGAAAAACCTGTTAAGTGTGGATCCTTTATTGAGATGTAAGTTCCCCATCTTTTTAGGCTGAAGCAGCCACGAGAAAAAAGGTATGACCCACATTTCTTTATATTCTGTCGCTGTTGTGGACTCAACAATTGTACTCCACTGAAGGAAATTCTGCCATCCTAGTGTATGTAGTAGTACATTTGATTCTTGGGGGGTAATTTTTTTCAGTACTTTACAGGACTTTACATTGATCAGTCTGATCCTATATGAGAAGCTGGGATTGGCATGAAGTAATGAGATTATAAGGAAGCATCTGTTCATTGTGTTCATTTTGATTGCCTATTGAACAAATAGCAATCCTGGCAAAAACTTTAAAAAGAGGCCCAGGAAGTTAGACTTATTCCTGTGATTGAGGACTTTGGGGATGCTTCTTGATTAACTTCAAAAGCTATACCTGACAGGCTTACATTAAAGGTGGTTGTGATTTTGTAGGAATCGAATTTTTGTTACAAAAAGCACTTGATGCTTCTGAAAAAATAAATTGATTAGTCTTTGTCATGTAGAAGTTAATTTAGGCAGAAATAACCTCATAATAAACATTCTAGTAAGTTCTGCAGCTGGGTAATTGGGGAGAGAATATTTACACTTAACTCATACTTTTGCATAAGGTGGTTGCAGTTGTAGGTAGGTGTGCAAAACAGATAGATGAAACAATACTTAAGATCTTGAGTTCTGCAGATCCTGGGTGTTTGTCTTTATCTCTTAAGCACAAAGGAGTTAACGCTCAACAAAGTTAAATGTCTTAACTCCTGTAATTTAGGACTGTAATCTGTCAACTATTGATAGAACTATCGATGTGAAGATAGTGGAAATTGAGAGCCTCTATAGAATGCTATATTCATTTTCACCAAATATGAACAAAACCACTTGTAGGGATGCCAGATGTCTAATTTTCTTTCTTTTTTTTTTTAATATTCCACTCCTGTTTGAATAAATGCTAGGGAAAACTGTATGGCCACTAGAGGGGGCTATTACACAAAATCAACCAGGAAATTATCCCTACTGTAAAACATCCCTAAAGCAAGGTGGAAAGCAACTGCCTTAATCCTATTAGCTTCAAAGTTAAGTGGGGTTTTTTGAGTAAGTTTCCTTACTATAACTTTACCTTTGCCTTCCCATCTGTTGAGTAGGAATCCATTTAGGTCTTGAATAGAGATTTACTAGTACTGAACGAACCTATAAAGAAAAGTATGTCTAGGTTTGGGGACTTAGGAGAAAACGCTGTAGATGTGAATTTGCTTGTTTCCCTGTTTCCCTTGTACACCTACAGGTATAGACCAGTAAGGCCAGAAGTATAAGAATTGGATACAGGAGTAGATGTGCTACACAAAGCAATCTAGGCATAAAATCGGTCCTATACTAGGAAAAACAAATATGTATTTTGGGACCTTTGTTGCTTGTTTATATGGCGTGACACAGGTTTCTGGAATCTTCTTTCGTAGCATTACTGAAAGACTTAATGAGTATTAGTGTGTCTTAAAATCCTGCTTATTCATCAGGTTAAGTGTTTACATTTGTCTGTTCTCTAGGCTTTGCTTAACTAGACACACAGTATCTTGTGACCATAACGTCTGTACACATAGTTCTCTTGTCGTGTTTACTTAATGCCATTTTTTTAAAGAAAGCTTAAATTTCAGCATTCGTCATTCCCATCATTCCCCTCTCTATAACCTTATATTGCAAAAAAAACTCAAAGGACAAACTTAACTCTTGTTTAAATTCACTATAAAAATACTGTTAAAAATTTTTAGGTCCAGTTGATGATACAGTTTACTCAAGAAAATGGGTATGGGAGCACACACCTTAAAACATTGATGTTAGAAACTTGTATGCTTTGAAGAATAAGATTCTAAAAGAGCAAATAAAAGTATTTTTCCAAGAGAGAGCAGAATCAAGTTTACACAGAGGTTGCCTGCTTAACTAACATTTTATGTGGCAAGTGTAGCCACAGAAGGTGGTTGCTGACTAGCAGGCTTGGTGCAGGTTGGATTGAGAGGACTCTAGGTTGATTATACCTGTGTCTTTAATCTTAGCAGTGTTAGCTATGGGGTCTCCTTGGCCGAACTTGTGAAGAAGCACTCTAAAACCAAAATTGTATAATTGGAACTCCAGAATTGACTTTGTAAAAGAAAAAAGCTGAACTTGGAGATTGTAAATTGCCAGAGGCATGGTAGAATTATGTCCTGAGGTGCTATTAGGGAAGCCTTAACACACAAAGTTTGGGATAAGTTTTCAAGTTGTGGCAACGATTAGGGTGTAAAACTTAGGAATGGACTGCTGTATCAGTCAAAAGACAACCGACAGCCTTTAAATAGGACTTGGAAGTACTGGGCTGAATCTCCTGCCCTTAAAGTGGCTTACTTGGAAATTTGAGTTAACAACATCTACTGTATGGTCAGTGAATTTTAAGTGTGGTTAGAATTTCATTAGTATCCTCACCTCAAGCCCCAACTGTCCACCAGCCACTGTTG